CACTTGAAAGTTTAAATTCAAGAATTGGTCAAGGAAAGAAAGAGGATCAATAGAAGGAAATGAAAAAGAAAGGTAACATACCTAAACAGTGAAAAAAGAAGGAACAAAGAAAGGGAATGAAAAGAAGAAAAGAAAAAGACCAGAGAAAGGAGAGGAGAAACAAAGCAAAACTTAAAAAAAAACCCAATCCCACAAAATACAAAGAAAACCAGATTGACATCCACCCAGATAGGAAAAACCCAATCAGAGAAGTGGAGGAGAATAAAAGTAATAAAATACCTCTGGTGTTTAGAGTTCTGTGATAGTGTCTATGTTAGAATCCAGAAAGGTTCTGGAGATGGAGCTAGTGTTGGCCTCTGGATTTTGGGGGCTGTGACTGGTAGTCCACTGTTTTCCAGAGCACAACAGCTGGCTTTCTCCCTGCTGTGGCTTCAGGCAGTTCCACCTTGCTCTTCTCTAATTACTCCACCTACCAAAGGAGTGTGTGTGTGTGTGGCAAGACCTGGACCAGCTGTCTTGTGTCTCTGTGTTCTAGTTGGGCCTCCTACAAAGGCATATGTCAGTTTTCACATTTTTATCCTCAAGTTCTGGTACACATCGAGGCATATAGTATCTAGTAATTATTTATTAAAATGGGAGAGGACTATTCAGATTTCTAACATTGAGATAATTATCAACATGCCAATGGTTCCCCCAGGAGCAAACAACTTCCCCCAGTGCCTCTGTCCTTGGATGAGTCTCAGAACTCCAGAGAGTCTGCACTGGCCACCTGAATAAAAGGATTCCTGTGTAACTGGTAACTGGATCTCATTACTCCCAAGAAGTGGTAGAAAGTAAAGATTAAGAGAATAATGGCTTAGATCAGTGGTTCTCATCAGTAGCTACACATTTGAATAATGGGGCACTTGTGAAAATATCCCGCCTCTCCGCATGAAATAGGTCTCAGTGTGGGACAAACAAACACCTGGCAGTTCCCATGTGCAGCCAGGGTTGAGAACTACTGGATTAGATAATGGTCTCATTTACCCAGAAGTGGCTGTCCAGGGAAATTAGGATGAAGTCAGGCCTGCTGCAAGCTAATTTTTATTTTAAATAAAAGTGGGAGAGGCATTGAGATGTACCTTGCTTGTCTTTTAAAGGCAGTTTAATAGAGTGCAGGTTTTAGAGTAAGACCTATTGAAAATGTACTAGTCGGGCTGGGGATTTAGCTCAGTGGCATAAGCGCCTGCCTTGCAAGCAGGCCGTCATGAGTTCAATCCCCGGTACCGATAAAAAGGAAAAAGACAAAAAAAAAAAAAAAAAAAAAAAAAAAAAAAGAAAATGTACTAGTGACCAGAAGTTTCCTGCCCCATTAGCTAAGTACTTGTAAGTCCACTTAATAAGTTATAAGAATAAGGCCAAAAAGATGAAGCTTTTTCCAAGGTCAAGGTATATAGGAATACAAACATATCCATCAACATGATAAAAATCACTATACTGAGCAACTGGTCAGTCAGACCTTACAGATATGCAAAGAGGCCAGAGAATATGACCCACAGTGAGAACAATAGTACCAGAATTTACAGAGGAGGACAATAAAAATTATTTCATATTGTCAAGTAAAGGAATAGGAAATAGAACAAAATTGAAATTCTAGAGAGAAAAACATGTCTGAAATGAAAATACACTGGATTAACGGCAGATTACCCTTCCAGAAGAAAATAAAACTTTACAAAAGTAAGAAATAGAGCTGTAGTGAGTTGTGGACAACTTCAGGTCCTTACCATATTAGTACAGTCCTGTTCTGCATAAACATTTTGATCATTGACAGACTGAACATATCACAATGGTCTCATAAAATGATGGAGCTGAACAGCCCCTATTGGTGATCTAAATATGTAACCATTATACTATTATTGCACAGTGCATTACATAAAACAAACATGTAATGCCAGTCATATAAAAGTATGTTATAGCTGAGTATAGTGATGCACACCTGATATCTCAGCAATGTTGAGGTTGAGCCTGGGAGATTGCAAGTTTGAAACCAGCCTGGGCAGTTTACTGAGACCCTATATCAAAATAAAAAGAAGATTGGTGCTTAGCTGAGTGGCCTGTATCCTAGAGCATTTGCCTAGAATGCAGATGGCCTTGGGTTTGATCCATAGCATCACATAAAAAGTGTAATAGCAAGTACAGTTATGAACAGTGTATAACACTTGTTAATAAATGGCTGCATTACTAGTTTATTTTTAATCGTAGTATAGAGAGTACTCCCTATAAAAAGGTTTCCTGTTAAACAGTATCCCATGGTAAACTGGCAACAACCTCATTCATCTTGTTTACCACATCTCAGTGGTATCAGAGGCAGTGGTGAAGATTGATCAGTACCGTTAAGTTTTGCCTAAGTAAACGGGTTCCCACAGCAATGAAATCACCTAGTGATGCAGTTCTTAGACCAATCCCTAATCCCCGTTGATAAGTGACACGTGCATGGTGGTAACTGAAATAGCAGAAGAGAAGAGTAAAAGTATATATATGTGGTGTATATATGGAATTTTGAAGGATGTGTATATGTACATATATACACAAACATATATATGTATATACATATATATCTATGTATATATGTATGTATATATACACATACATACATATGCTGAAAACACAAAATTCCATGAAACTAATCCCACACATCAAGAAACAAGAGGAAACCTAAATACATAAAACTAGACCAAGGAGAATTAAAATCAGATTATGTTAAAAGAGAAAATCCTAAAAGCAGCCAGAGGAAAAGTACATGCTATGTACAGAGGAGAAAGGGTGATACTATTTTTCTTAAATAATACAAATAAAAGTGGAATTACATTTATGAGATGCTAAAAACCTTATAAATTTTATATTTAGCAAAAGATCATTCAAAAATGATGACAACCTAGTATGGGAGAAAATATCTATAAATCATAGGTCTGGTAAAGGTTTAGTAGGTAGAAGATATAGAGGATTCAACTCGAACAGTAATACAGATAACCCAATTTAGAAAATGGTCAAAACAATAAACAACTAAAGGTTTGCAAATGACCAGTAAGCATACAAAAATATACTCAGTATTGTTAGTAATTAGGAGAATGCAAATATAAAACAATGAACTATCATTCCATACCTACATGGTAGCTGTTTTTTTTTTTTTTTTAAAGTTTAGGAGACAGTTTATTATACATGGTCCAAATACATGAATTACAGGAACAAAGACTGCAGTGGTCATAAACTTTCTACTAAGAGATCCAAAAAGCTAAGCTTCTGTCATTTTTTTAGTTATAGTTGGTATCGGACATGGCCTAGGCTTGTCTTAGTCCTGTCAGGCAGATTAGGGATAAAAAGCCCATCAGGAACAGTTGAACATGGAGAACAATTGAACTTCTTAAGGCCAATTTTAGTAGGCTTCTAAAAATTTATGTTATTAGTACATGTTTGCAAGTCATGCAATGTACAGTCAGGGAGAAGCTAAACATACATGCTACAGCTTTTTTTCTAATTCCCTTTCCTTCCTTTCCTTTCTTCTTCCCATCACTATCACTTTTTTTTTTGTTTTTGCACTTGTTGGTATTATTTGTCTTAGCTTATGTTATGGCATATGGTGTTATTGATTGGAGTTATTAGGATCTCATACATGGCGCATCTTTATTCCTCTCATTTCCTCTTCCTCTTCCCTTCCTCCTCATCCCTTTCCTTGAACCCCTTTCCTGTTGAATGAGATACATCCCCTTATTCCTTTCTATCCATTTTTGTCTCATCATTTTCTTTATTCATACTTCATTCAAATGAGAAATATCATGTAATATTTAAACTTGTGTATCTGACTTATTTCACATTATATTTTCCATTTTCCTAAATGCCTCATGTTTGACTTTCTTTATTGCTGAGTAGTATTTCATTATATTTAGTGTTATGGTTCTGTCAAGATGTCCCCGCCCCCAAAGCCTCGTGCAGTCATAATTGGGGCTTATTGAGAGACAGCTGATTCTAGAGTGTGTGATGGTATTCTGCTAGGACTAAAGGAGCTAATCTTGAGGGAAAAATTGAGCCAACAGTGGCTGGGGATTCAGGAGAAAAAAGGAAATTTTAGCAGATCCAAGAAGAGTTAATCTCCAAAGTCTGAGGCCCTGATTATATATTTATAGGGTGGCAAATGGAAGTTACAGGAACGAGATAAGCTTTTAGCTGAAGGTTATGGTACAATGGATATTTTATGGTGAGCATTGTTGCATATAGGAAACAAGTTTGATGACAAATATGATTTAGCTGAGTTCAGTGGCAGAACAGAATAACTGCGGTTTTGTTGAATAAAATGGCTGTAGTTAGGTCAGGATTTCTGCCTCACTAGGATTAAGGGTGGATGATTACTCAATTAGTCCACTGATTGGTTAAGTACTGCCCTAATCCTCATAGCCTGGGTATGACCTAAGGGACAGAAAGAGGCTTTTTTTTCTCCCTTCTCTTGCTTGTTTTCCTACTGTCTGCCTGCCATGAATGATTCTTTGCCTAGTTACCCAGCCTTAGAGGACTGAAACATCTACAAAATGTGATCTAAATAAACCTCTTCCCATTTAACTTTGGGTGTCAGGTATTTTGTCTCAGCAATGAGAAAAAGTAACTAAGATACGTGGTTACCACATTTTGTTTATCCAATTATCTGTTGATAGGTAGACTGCTTTCAGGATTTACCTGTTGTGCATTATAATTCATAATTGCTGCTGTAAACATGGTACCCAAATACTGATGTAGTGTGATGACTTAAGCTCTTTGGGGAAGTTACCTAGCAAGGGGATAGCTGCATCACATGGAGTTTTAATTTCATTTCTTTGAGAACTTTGCATGCTGACTTCCATAATGGTGGTTCTAGTTTGCATTCCCACCAATGCAGGAGAATTCCAAATGACATTTAGCAGGAATACCAGAGATGTAGGATATGAAAGTACAATTTTGTAACTTTGTTTCTCTTTTGCAACTTTGCTTCTCAGGACTGTCTGTTACTCGAGGAAGTGTCCTGAGAAGGAGGTGGCCATGGAAGCTGTGGTGCTGATGGCCAGGTCCCAGGTACATTGGCTGTTCTTGTTATCCAACTGGGAATCTTTTTTTGCTGGCCAGAGGAACTTAAGAAATTGTGCCTCAGGGGTGTTCCAGAAGAGCAGTCTATAATGTTTCTTCATTTGTAATAGTAGTTTCTTTATCAGTACTGCAGGGAAGTTGGGTGGCCAGCTCAAGATCCTGATGAATGAGTTGCATCTGTACTAAGGCAGTTAACCCAGAACAAGGGATGTGGGAATTGGAAGTGCTGGTGCATCTCATGGGCTGCCTTGGCCTTGGTTGTCCTTGGTGTGGTGCTGGTTGTGTGAATTCCTCCATAGAGAGCTCTGGTTTGGAGGAGTGTGGGAAAAATTTGGAAAGCTATCCAAGGGTGATTGCAACCAAAGCAGAGAGCTCTGAGGACAGGTTGTTTAGTGGCAGGGTGACCTGTAGTGCCAAGGATGTATACGCTGCCCAAGCTCTTCCTCAGGAGAGTCTTGCATGCAAGTGACCCAGGGAGGCTGACTGCGAGCAGAGCAAATGTTACTGCTGTCTTCAGGGCCCAACTCCACACCAGGATGGTTCAGGCAGCTGTTATGTTTTTGCATTGAAAACCAGGAGACTTAATTTTAAAGTTCAGGAGAGAACTTGCACAAAATGACATTTGTGCAAGGATATTAAGGATAACTTGTGGTTGTCCAAATAAACATGAGAGAACTAGATTTCTGAGAGAGCATAGTGTGTTTGAAGAATTAAGGCAATTCCATCAGAAGGGAGGGGAGGTGTGGGCAGCACAGGATTCCTCAGCAGGTTTGACTGACTGCAGCTTGAGTGCTGTATCTGTGGGCTTAGTAAAGTGTCCCACAGGGTAGATAGGGTAACAGGCAGCAGAAATGAAACAGCTGTAACTGACGACGTCAGTAAAGACTAGGAGATTGCAAAGGAGGCAAGCAGAGCTCCTGGGAGGCAAGAGTATAAACTGGGTGCTGCTGAGAAGTCAGGCTGTAATGGCTAAAAGGTGAGTTCATCAGAAATCACTAGGCTTTAGTCTTTACTACTGTTTCATTATGGAAATTCTCAAAGATACACAAAATTGTAAAAGTAGTTTGATATGTCAGAGTAGAAGGAGATAAATAATATATCTAAAGTGGATTAAGTCTAATACCTACAGTAAATGAGCAATGTCTGCTGATGAAAATGTTCAGAGACAGCTGGGCACACTGGCACATGCCTATAATTTCAGCTACCAAGGAGGCTGAGGTGGGATGATTACAAGTTCAAGATTACCCTGGGCAATTTAAGACTGTCTCAAAATAAAAGCAATAAAAAGCACTGGGTATAAGGCTTAGTGGTAGAGCTCTTGCCCAGCATGTAGGCCTTGGGTTCAATCCCTAGTACCACAAAATATAAGAAAACATCAGGAACAGATTAAATTCAAATTGCATTGTTTTATAGGTATGTTCATATATGATATAAAAATATTTTTAAAAAGTCAATAAACAACATGACCTATAATCTTCCAGGGAGGGGAGATACACTGAAGAGATTGCTGCAATGCTATTGAAGTCATGCTTCAGAGTAACATTACATTATACCCATCTTTGTGTCTCTACACACTGACTGCTTTTTACCTCTGCTATCTTTAACACATTACTGTATTGTTTGGGAGTAAATATGCTCTACGGTATACTTTACAGCTAAGGAAATGAATTTTTTGAAGTTAAACCAAACAAGGATTAACCAACTCCAAATTAAAGATATCCAAGTCGGAGCTCGGGCCTGTCTGGTTTCAAATGCAGTTTTCAACTCCCCTTTCAGACATGTTTCCTTTCAGTGATGTCCTACCACCTGTGCTGTCAGAGAAATACAGTGCCTCTTCAGGGGAACGCACAAGAGGTAAAGATCAGATGAGTTACATGAAACATGGTCAAGTGTCTTAGGAACAGCTGGCACTAGCAAACAAGTCAAGGACTCAGAGAGAGCACCTTGTGAGAGTGAGGTGGGGAAGGGCATCATTACCTTTGGGCCTGAATGGGTGAAAACATTGATTTCTCCTTTCACAAACTATTTTTCAGCTGATACAATGTTTGCCATCAGAAGTTGGCTGTTCTTTGCCTCTCTCATTTATTTCCAATGGAGATAGCCAACTGGAAACTGAAAGAAAGTTGCCAGCATGGTGGTGGTGTGTGTCTCCTTGACAGTCATAGCCTCTATAGATCTAGTCTGGTTTCCAGAACCTTTCTCTGTGCCTGGGAATGACGGAATGAGAGGGACCCAAAGGGAAAAAGAGACATTCAGCACATAAAACCTCACAGAGCATTCCTTAAAGGGCTTTGCATTGATTTTCAAACTTCTATACAGTAAAATCCTCTCCTTTTCTTACACAGTCTTGGGGACTGAACCCAGGGCCTTCACACTGAGCTATATCCCTAACCCTTTAAAAACTTTTTTTTGAGACAGGATCCTGGTAAGTTGCCAAGGCAGTACTAGAACTTGCAATCCTCCTGCCTTAACCTCCCAGCGTGCTAAGATTACAGACAGACACCTCCACATTAGACTCAATTCTCATTTTGACAAATGCAAATAGTTGTATAAGCACCACTTCATTCAAGGTGCAGAACAGATCCATCACCCCAGCCTTGTTTGCTTTCCCCTCTTCCGCAGCCCCTTGCAACTGGTGGTTAGTCTCCATTCCTGGAATTTTCCTTTTCAGAATGTCCCCTGATCAGAGTTGCATGTTATGCAGCCTACAGCTTTTCATATAGCATAATGTCTTTGTAATCCATGTGTCATGCTGGTCAGTAGCCTGTACTTTCCATGGCTAAGTAAACTTCTATTGTGTGATGTAGCACACTTGTTTTGCATTCTGTGCTGAAAGATCTTTGGGTTCCCTCTAGTTTGGGCAGCTACAGTTAAGGCCCCTTATCAGTTTTATACACTTGCCTACCAGTTTTGGTATGAACATAAGTTTTCAGACTCTCAGATGTTTTGCAAAGGAATGTCAGGTCCTGCTGCAGTATCCCTCAAGACTCATATATTCAAGGCATGATCTCCAGTTTGGCACTTTTGGGAGGCAGTGAACTTTGAAGAGAGGAAGGATGGTGGAAGATCCTTAGGTCATTGAGGCTGTGTCCTTACGGGGACTATAGGACCCTGGCCTTTTACATTTGGGAACCAGCCGAAAGGTGAATAGCATCCCTTCACACACTCCATGATGTACTGTTCCAGCACACACTGTGCTGCACAGGCCCAAAAGCAACAGGGCTAACTTACCATGGACTGAAGCCTCTAAAACTATGAGCAAATAAACTTTTCTATTTTTAATGTTATTACTAGGTATTTTGTCTTAGTAACAAAAAACTGACCAACGTGAGTCATATGGTAAAACTATACTTAATTTTTTGAAAAACACGCAGTATGTTCCAGAGTGACTGTAGCTTTTGTATTCCCATAGTAGTGAACATGAGTAGTATTTATTCTGTATCTTGAGTGTTTGATTTAAAAGTTTATACTTTCTAATGTGTCAAATCAAATCATATTTCACAGTAAATTTATATAATTAGTGTTTCCATTGTATATCTGGTTCTGTCATTTTATTTTTAACCTCTGGTTTGTTTTATACAGCATGGTTTTCTTTTAGGCAGCAGATAATTCAGGTTTGTGGTTTGTGTCTCCTAAATCTAGTTTGGCAGTCTTTTTCTTTTAGGTGAATGTAGATTAGAATGTAATTAATTATATGATTAGAATTGAATGTGTCATTTTACTCTATGTTTCTATATGTGCCCCATCCTCAGCTTCTGTTCTCACTGTATTAGCTTCGTGTTAATTTTTATTTCATTTAAAGTTATATCTTGGCTTTTTAGATACACATTTTTGCATTTTAAATGGTTGCTTCAGGGGTTAGGGTAGGTAAAATCTGGAACCCTTTTCTGCCCTACAGGTATACACATATATTACGTGTATGTGCATATATTGAAAAGCTCCACCAGAAAATGTGTCAGTGTTTACTTTTAGCTGTTCTATAAGTTTAATGTGTCTTTAACTAATTTAAAATTGATACATAAAACTTAAAAGTATATATTAATTGAAGTGCCATGTAATGTTTGATTCTTAAATGAGGTTCAACATATTTGTCTCTTGAAACATCATTCCTTATGGTGAAAACCTGCAAACTAATTCCTTCTAGCTTTTTGGATGTACGGTACGTATCATTGTCTGTAGTTACTCTGTTGTGCAGTCGTGCTCCAGAGCTTCTTGCTCCTATGTACTGTATAATTTTGAAGAGTTCAAGAGAATACTGTGCCATTATACTTCCCCAAATTTCGGCTCTTTTGCTGTTCTTCCTTCATTCCTAAGATTTCAACTTCTTTTTAGATTCTTTCCCTTCTGCCTCAGGAACTTCCTATAGCTGATATTTCAGACCAAATCTTACAGCAAAGTGTCAGTTTCACTTTGTATCAGTTTTGAAGGATATTCTCACTGAATAAAGCTATCCTGGCTTGAAAGTTGTTTTATTTCAGTGTTGTGAGTGTCTAGTGTATTTTGAACCTTGGGAAGAGGTATATATATATATCAAATTGGGACACGGGGGGTGTAGCGCGAAGAAAAGATACAGCAGACATGGTAATTGTAACTGTATTGTATTGTATTGTATGTCAAGTCTTTATTTTAGGGTTTTTATATAGTAAATTAGATCAACTTATAGAGCATAGACGATTATCTTGAAAAAGTATTTTTTGTATAATGTTTATCTAAACTATCTAAGTTAAGCAAATAAGTAAAACTAGTTTTTTTAGCCCCACTAACCCAGGAGGAACTTTATTAGCCCAAGAATGTTTATAGTTTTGTTTGTTTTTTAGTGTCACAGTGGTGGTTGGCCACCTCTTAATGACTCTGTAAACAAAGCCAAGTCACACAGCATGGGTTTAGAGGGGGGAACATTTTTCTCGCTGGGGATCAGGCATTCTCGCCCCGTCTCTGTCCTGTATACCGGGGGCTATTGTTTACTGTAGGTCACGAAGGGGCCAGGG